TATCGCCACCAGTATCGCTACCAGTATCGTCACCAGCGCTGCCACCAGTATTGCCTTGCTACCAGTATCGCTTCTAGTATTGCTTTGCCACCAGTATTGCCTTGCTTCTAGTATCGCTTCTAGCAAATAATAGCGGCGGTAAGGTAGTAGTAGTAGTAGTAGTATTCGTTCAACGTCTACGGGTCGCTTTCTATAGCGAGTCCTGTGACCTCTTTAATATCGGATGTGATCAGGTGATAGACTTATCACGTGTCAAGACCTTTCTAGATGTATAAGTAAAGAGCTACTCTTTAAGTTCATTAGACAATCTATTAAGAATCTTTTTACTTATCTTCTTTTTCGTGTTACCGTTTAATAAGTTATAAGCTTCCGTTACGACTTTTTTAGCGTTGAAATACTACAATTAATACTCTTTGCGATTTCTTTAACATCGAACCTTTCGCAAAGATAAAATTAAAACGGAACGAAACACGATATTCCTTTTTAAAACTATTTTCTAACGATATATATAACTCTTTCTCTTCACTGCTTACGTTCATCGCTAACTTTTTATATCTCTTTTTAAAAACATACGACCTTTTGTTTTTAAAAACACTTTAATAATAACTTATTTCGGATAATAGTATTTCTTTAAGGTTTATATATATATATATATATTTATAGACTTTGCGACGGAATACGCTGAAATAAACTTTAATCTTCCGAGATTTAACTTTTTATAAATCCACTTTGCATATATACTTTATTTATATCTAGCATTAATCGAAAACTCTTTTATCGAGATTATTATATTTTAAACGATTTAGCTGCATTACGTTAGCACGCTTAAGCTTTTACGATAAAATAAAACTTAAACAACTTTAATAGATTCTTTATTTTATTTTTAACTTTACTTGTCTTATCGCAAACTAATTATAAATTAAGACGCTCCGGATAGCTTAACTAACTAAAAACTTCGAAAGACTTTAAAAAAGGCTTTTTTTACGGACGATACTTTCGTATTATTAAAAAAAACGAAAACTCGCAAGATCTTTTAACTTTTTAATTCTACTTTTTTTTACCGCTTTAATCTTTTTACAAATTATATATAAACACTTATCAATACCTTTTTTCAATCTTTCGATTCTGCTAAAGATCGTAACTTTAATCTTGATTTCTAATCTTTTAATATCGAATTAGACTTAAACACTTTTTTCTTATTAGCTTCGAACGAAAAGCCTTTTTGCTCTTTTTCATTTACTTTACTTTTCGGCTTTCGAATTAAAAAACCTTCTTACTACTTATAAGAATATCTCGATAAATATCACTTCGGCATTACTAGTTAACGTTAAAGATTCTATTAAGCTTATTAAGACTTCGATTTCTAAGAATAGCTATAAACACTTAATCTACTTTTTCTTCCGCTCTTTTTGCTGTTCCATTCTTCGACGAAGAAAACTAAATCGAGTTTCTCCGACGTATCGATTTCGCTTTTATTAATAAAAACTACTTTTACGAAAAAATCTTTAAAAGAACAAAAGTCCGATTAACTCGCTTTTTAAGCGAAACGGAGTTTGCGTTTAAAAAAAGACTCGACGCGTAAGACGAACTCTAGACTTAAAGCTGCTTTTTTATCTATAGTAGACTCGAGCTAATCGCCGCAAACTTCGTTAAAAGAAAGAGAATAAGCTTTACGATCGTCGAAGACTTTAAAAAGCACGATCTTAAAAAGCTATTATTAATAGATTTAAAAAAACGTTTTCGATTTAAAAGCGTCGCGACGTTTTATCGTCTTTAATCCGCGTTGCTCGCTCTTCGCATTAACGAGTTCGACGACGTTACCTTTTTTAATAACGAATTCATGCGTTTAAACGGATAACTTAAGCTTTTCGATAATAATACTTAACTTTCCGCTTTATAAATAATTAAGGTTTATTTTAACTAGCTATCGTTTTCGTACGAAAACTTTAAATCTAATTAAGTCTTGAATAACGATTATATCGACGGCGATAAATCTAAAACTACTTTCGCCGACTTTATAGCTTTTACTCGCAAAAAAAAGCAATTGATATAATACTCTTCGAGCAAAGCATTCTTCGTATATAAAAAACTTAGCAAACTTGCAAGAAAAGATAAGTTTATTATAATTTATAATTATTACAAGAAACCTTACTATTTTAAATCGAAATGCGTAATAGCTTACTTTTATTTAAAAGCTGCTTTCGATAAACGAATCGAAAAAAAGCGTAAAGATAAAGCTGCTAAGCAAGCTAAATTAAAAACGGTTAAAAATACCGACTCTTTCGAAAAGATTCTTTCTGCTGCTCTTTTTATACTATCGATTCGTAGCTGCGCTAATAAGACCTTTTAATCCGCTTTCGACGTTCGAGATTTTAATATAAATTAGCAATTAAAGCTTGCTCGAAATAGATTATTTTAATTAAAACTAATTTAAAAATATTATTCTCTTTTTCGATTTAACTTTTTTCGCAATTTTTAATCAAAGCAACGTCTTCGAAAGCTCCGGACTTTGTTATCGAGCACTACTTTTACTTTTAAGTATTAAATAATTTTTATTCTTTTTATAATCCTTACCTTTTTACTTTATTTTTTACTCTTCTTTTTTACTCTTTAAAAAACACGACGGCTTACCGCCGTAATAGTATTTTCTTATCTCTTTTCTCTTTTACTTTAGTATGCCGCACTTTTTATTAAAGCTTTCTTTAAGGATTTTTCTTTTTAATTCTAACCTTATACGCTCTCGCTTCTTAGTCTTTAAATACACTTAAAAACACTTTTATCTTTAATAATAGCTGCATTAAGCATATGTTTTACCGTTAAGAGTTTTTCGAGAATATCTTTTTACTCGATTTAAACGAAGCAACTACCGTTTTTAAAATAAAAGGTCATTCACTTTCACTTTAAAAAAAAAGCATAATTGTTTTACTCGTTAAAACGAACGACGGTAGCTTCGGTTAGATTCGTTTATATAACTTTATTTATTATTCGAACTTTAGCATTAACTTTCTTTTTTATTTGAATCTTATTCGAAAAAGTGTAAGTATAACTTTAAGCGAGAAAAGTGCTTTACTTTTTTTATTAAGCAAGAACTCTTTAGTTTTCACCGCTCGAATCGCTTAAGACTTGTTTTGCTTTAATATCGATCTGCGTTAGCTTATAAACCGAGTCTTTCGCTTAAGTTATATATATAAAGCTTTCGATTTTAATTAACGACGCTACGCTTACTTCTTTTAATTAGCTTCGACTTTCGATACTTTAAATCCTTTTTAATAACGATCTTAATATTAAGCTTTAGCCGCTTTTTTTATTAAAAAAGCTTAAGCTGTTTAATATAAGCGTTTTAAATATCTCGGATAAGAAAACTTATTAAAAATGCAAAAGCTATTAAAAAATATAAACTTACGTATACTTTTTCTTTTATGCGCTTGCGAAAGCTGCTTCGACGGTCGAATAATTAAAAAAGTATATAAAAGACATATCAATTTAAAACGGTATCTCGACGAGCTTATTTATATAAATATTATTAAACCTTTTCGCAAAAAGTACGACAGCTTTATTTATTTTATTTACTTTTATTACGATAAAACAAAAGAAGTCGAGTGTTATAGCATAAAGTACAAGTCTAAAGTATTAAATAAATTTAAACTCTTTTAAGCTTTTCGTTAAAAAAGAATTATGCGTCTTTACATCGATAATAAAAGCGAATACGTTTTTCGGCGTTTTTAAGAACACTTAGCCGAGATAAGCGTTCGATTTAAACTTGCTGTTTTATATAATCTATAAATGAATAAAGCTATTAAAAAGATCGAACGAATACTTTAAGATATTATAAAAACGCTTTTATAAAGTTTTAAGTTCGATGCGAAATAATAGCCGGAATTGCTTCGCATTGCCGTTTATTTTTACTTTCGTCGCTTTTATAGCTTTATTAGCATAACTCTTTTTAAAGCTACGAACTTATATAAATCGTTCGTTTCGCACTTACGCATTATCGACTTTAAAGCTTAATTTCTCGAAAGCAAAATTAAGAAAACAAAACCGTATATTAAACAAGTCTTTTACGAAAAGCTGATTAAATACAAAAGTGATTACATTTATCGTATTTTAACGACCGACGGCTTTATTAAAAAAGCATATAGCGCGTATATAATTAAGCAGCTTTTAGCTTTTGCCGCTATCGAACAAACAGATTTTATAAAAGGATCACTTACCTTTCCGTACTTTGATTCCGCTTTTTACCTTTTTAGTTTTTACTTTTTAACGTTTTTAAAGCGCAAGATCGAAAGTTCATTTAATATAAAGCTAAAATGCTTACGCTTTTCGCTTACCGCTAAAAACGAAGACTATTCGGCTCGAAGGCTTACCGCTTAAGATCTCCGACCTTTACTTTTTTAAAAGAACCTTTATTATCTTTCGACTTTTTTTTTTTCTTTTCGTCTTTCGAAAGTACGTTCGATTTTACTTTTCGAATTCTTTTTTTTTCGCTAATTCTTTTTAAACTTCATTTTAAGCTTTACCGGGACCTTAACTCATTTGACTTAATCGCTTTTATAGCATTCTTAGCAAAGCAAACTTTAAAACCGAAAAAGAAACTTAAAGTTAAGTACGTCGAAGATAAAGATAGCTTTTATATTCAAGCTTTACTCGGTCTTATAATAAAAATCACTTTCTCCGAAGCTAACTCTTTTAAACCTTTCGAACCGAAGACTTATAAATAAGCTATAATCGATAGTAATCGAACGGCTTAGCTAAAAGCTATAATCGAAAAACAAAAATCATTTTACGAAAATAATATTTAAGATCTTATCGACTTACTTACGACTTAGCGCGTTTTTTTCGATCGATAAGTATATAAACATAAGCGAAGACTTAACGGCTTTATAATCCGTTAAAAAGCACGCTAAGTCGTTAAAAGAGATTAATAAAAAAAAAGCATTAATTATATCGAGACTTTTATTACGGTCGTTAAGCTTATAAGTTATAAAATGATTTTCGTTATCGCCGCTGCTTTAGATTAAAAGATCGATTAGATAAACGTTAAGATCGCGTTTTTATATAAGAAAGTTGCCGAATCCGTTTACGTAAAACAACTCACCGAGCTCGAAAACGAGATTAAAAAAGTTTGCAAACTAAACCGCGTACTTTACGAACTTAAATAAGCTTTTCGCGTTTAGTATAATACTTTATTCGAATTCTTTATCGAAATAAGATTTAAACCTTTCGGCACCGACGCAAGCGTTTTTTATAAAAAAAGAGTTATTATCGCTATTTACGTCGATGATTTACTTATCTTCGGCCGT